ATCCCCCGCACCCCGCGCTCCCCTCAGAGGACCTGAGTTAGAACCCGCTTACTATACCTACTTGCTGAAATTCCTGATTCATGTGAAAATCATATTTTATATGACATAGTTATGAGAAACATGATTCATGGACCTTGTGGCGATTGGTGTTTGGTAGATGGAAAATGTTCGAAACATTATCCTAAACCATATCTTGAAGAGACTAGAATGGATAAAGATGCTTATCCTTACTATCATCGACGAAATAATGGCAAGAATTTTGAACGTCCTGGTGGCTATATAGTTGACAATCGTTATGTAGTTCCGTATTGTCCTATTTTATCGATTATTTTTAATTGTCACATAAATATTGAGATAATTTCAAGTATCAAATCGGTTAAATATCTATATAAATATATTTATAAAGGACATGATGTCGCTGCTATAACAATTGAGCCAATAACAGATAATGTAATTATTGATCATGATGAAATACGTAATTTTATAGAAACTCGTTATGTTGGACCTGTAGAAGCCTGTTGGCGTATTCTTGAAAAGAAATTACAAGATAAAAGTCATTCTATAGTACGTTTGCCAGTCCATCTTCCGAACGAACAAAATGTTATAATTGAAAATGAAGTTATTGAAGAAGCAATGACTGACGCCAGTCGAGACAGCGAGTCTCACTGTTTCGCTCGCTCTCGCGCAGCGGCGAAGTGGTGGGGCAGTTTTCCGTGTTGCCGGGGAGCCAAATGTGCATCACTGCCGAGGAGCCAAATGTGCATCACTGACTGACGCTTTAAACAAGTTACGATGTTAATTGATTATTTCTCCTTAAATTTACGCGATGAAGAAGCAAGACAATATTTATATGTAGAAATTCCACGCTATTATACGTTTAAGAAAGAGAAAATTAATGGAAGAAATGTATCACGTTGGATCAAACGCAAAAGTCATTATAATTGTATAGGACGAATGTATTCCGTTAGTCCAACACAAACAGAATTGTTTTATTTACGACTATTATTACTGACTATAAGAGGAACTACGAGTTTTAATGATTTAAGAACTGTAAATGGAGAAATATGTCAATCGTTTTCAGCAGCATGTCTAGCTTTAGGTTTCATTGAAGATGATGAGGAATGGAAACGAACTATGAATGAAGCTGTTGGATGGATGATGCCCCGACAACTTCGTAGACTGTTTGTACGTATACTATTACATTGTCAACCGTTGCATCCTGAAGAGCTCTGGGAAAATTTTAAAGTAACAATGTCAGAAGATTATGTTCGATACTTTGGATTGTTACAAGGACAAAGGAAAGCATATACGCAAATTAATACTATGCTTATTGCTGAAGGTAAAAGTCTTGCCGATTTTCCACAAATGGAACAATTGATAGAAAACGATGAAGAGGATGATTATAGAACACTTGAAGAAATTATAGAAGTTGGTACCAGACAATATGAACAATTAAATGATAAGCAGAAAGAAATAGTAGATCTTGTATTAAACAGACTAGATACTAATAATTACAATATTAATTGTATTTATATCGATGGTCCAGGTGGTTCAGGAAAAACGTTTATATACACGACTATCTGTCATTTAGCCAAAATTCGAAATAAACATATATGTACAATGGCTTTTACGGGGATTGCAGCGACATTATTGCCAGCAGGAAAAACAGTTCACAAAACATTTGGATTGTCAGTTCCATTATTTGCTGATTCATCATCCAGCATTAAAATTTCAATCTAAGGAAACTCGTTATTTAAAAGAAATAGACATTTTTATTTGGGATGAAGCGCCAATGGCTCCACGATATGCTCTAGAGATTGTGGATCGAACGTTGCGTGATATCATGAATAATGATTTACCTTTTGGTGGAAAAATCATCGTGTTAGGTGGTGATTTCAGACAACTACTCCCTATTAAAATACATGACTCGAAGTGAAATCGTAAATCTTTCAATCAAATTTAGTCATATTTGGAAACATTTTATAAATTTCTCTTTAATGGAAAATATGCGAGTTCTTCCAGAGGAAACTGAATTTGCAAAGTTTCTATTGGATATGGGAGATGGCGTATTAAATGATTCTAACGATAATATACAACTTCCTAATTGTTGTATCGCACACATTAATGCTGATATTGTAGAAGATATATATGGTGATTTGATACAAAATAAAGAATTCAATAAAATAGCATAATGTGCAATACTTTCCGCACGAAATGCTGATGTAGATGAAATTAATAAACGTGTTGTCGAATTATTAGAAACGTTTGAAAAACAAATTTATACAAGTACAGATAGTACTGAAAACTGCGGTGATAATGATGACATTGGTGAAGTCTTACTACCAGAATATTTAAATACTTTGTCACCGTCATCTCTTCCACCTTACGAATTACGTTTAAGGCCGAATTGTGTCATTATGTTGATTAGAAATCTTAGTATCAATGAAGGTCTTTGTAATGGCACTAGATTAATGATTATAGCACTTGGCGATCATTTATTGAAATGCAAAATCTTAACAGGTGATAAAGTAGGAGATATCATTTTTTTGAATCGTATCACGCTGTATTGTGAAAATGTATATTCTTTTACTTTTAAAAGAAGACAATTTCGATAAAATTAGCTTTTGCTATGACAATTAACAAATCACAAAGACAGACATTTGATAGAGTAGGAGTTGATCTTCGAAAAGATGTTCTTAATCATGGGCAACTTTATGTTGCCTTTTCACGAATACGTTCTTGGCAAGCATTAAAAGTTTATCTAGGTAGACAGCGCGATAATAAACAAGTTAAAAATTACGTATATAAAGAAGTATATGTATGATTCCTTTTCTTTTAAATTATTTAGAAAAGATATATTTTGATGTATTGATATGTATTAAAATAATTTATACATAAATTATTTAGCTATTAAATTTAGATAATATACAATATTATTTAGTTAATATAATTTAACTAATATAGGTTTATTTAGCTAATAAATTTGTTCAATTCTCTTTCTGTGCTTGTTTAGAATTAGAGCGTTAATTCGTGCCGTCGTCGAGATCGCTCGAGAAACTTCTTCGCTTCGAATCTTTGTTGATTCGCCTTTCGAGCAATGTCGACGTCGAGAGCGAGTGTTTGTGTGCCGATGACGACGGGAGTCTTTCGACACAGAAAAAAGGCCCTCGTCGTACTTGGTGTGTTACCCCCTGATTCGTCGCTCGTTACTGGGCCGATGTTATCGGCGAATCGCGTTATCGCTTCCAAAATCAAAGCCGCGAGCCGTTCGAGTTCGCGCGACGAAAGACAGTACGAATCTGGAGAGCGACGGGTCGAGAGGGCTCCGTCGAAGCATCCGAGCGAACCCGGCGCAAAAATAATTCGTCTTAATTGTCGTTAACGGGGGAACCAGATAGAAGGCTCCCGCCGCCGGCAACAAAGTGGTCCTTCGAGCCGGATCTCAGTGAAAACCGGATACGCGACTCTCCGTTCGTGCTCATCACGCGCTCGCACAAACTGCTCCGTCGCATCGGAAAAGTAACGGACGTCGCAACTCGCGTCCGTCGGTGCGTTGACTCCCGCGCCGAAGCCTTACAAACTTCGTTCGCGGAAAGTGACACTCGCGAAATACGCTGCTCCACGCGTTTCGCGTAGTGAATTTATCGTGCTACTCGCGGACGCTCCTTACGCTCCGTCGAGTTAGTGACTCTCGCGAACGCTGCTCCACGCGTTTGTGAATTTATCGTGCTACTCGCGGAAGCTCCTTACGCTGCGTCGAGCTAGTGACTCTCGCGAACGCTGCTCCACGCGTTTCGCGTAGTGAATTTATCGTGCTACTCGCGGACGCTCCTTACGCTCCGTCGAGCTAGTGACTCTCGCGAACGCTGCTCCACGCGTTTCGCGTTGTGAATTTATCGTGCTACTTGTGGACGCTCCTTACGCTCCATCGAGCTAGTGCCTCTCGCGAACGCTGCTCCACGCGTTTCGCGTAGTGAAATTATCGTGCTACTCACGGACGCTCCTTACGCTCCGTCGAGCCAGTGACTCACGCGGACGCGGCTCCACGCGTTTCGCGTAGTGAAATCGTTGTGCCGCTCGCGGACGCTCCTTGCGCTCCGTCGAGCTAGTGACTCGCGAACGCGGCTACTCGCGTCTCGCTCGTGCATTGACTCTTGCGGAAAACGCGATTTGCGTTCCGCCCGTAACATTGACTTTCGTCGACGCGACGAGCTCCTTGTTTCGAAAAATAATTCGCGAGTGCCGCTACACGCGCCCCGATTCTAAACGTACCTCACGATGGCCGAGGAAACCGAGAATCTGATCTTAGCGCAAGAGTACAAAATTGGTGCTCTCAAACGTGTGCTCATCAACTACAAGAAACTCCCGAAGGCGAGCGTGACGGTGCCGACGATCCAGAGCCGTATCTCCCAGCTGAAGGAGCTCTGAGCCGCCTGTAGCAGCCAACACGTCCTGCTGTTGCAGACCGCTACGTCCGGGGAGCTAAAGGGTCTGCCCTACTTCGTGGACAACGTAATCCTGGAAGCCGAGGACGTATATGCCAACACCAGCGACATTCTACAAAACGCGCTAAGTAGACTGTTACCCGCTAACACTAACTCTTCATTATCCGATAGTCACGACGAGTCAGTTTCGCGCGAGTCGGGTTCTCAGATCTCGCGATTGTCACGTATATCGTTGCCAAAATTTACCGGTAAAATCGCGGAATGGGAGAGTTTTCGAAATATGTTCGAGTCTCTCGTG